TTCACTTCTACAACATAAAAAATACTGAGAGAACTTCAGTGTAGATACTTTTCTACCTCTACCGTCTACCTATATTTTAATTCAAAGTATTAAATCTAAAAAAGTGCTAAACAGACTTAAAACAAAAAGTAATCGTCTCTTTTTTCACTCTTGGCCCTTACCCACCCTTGCTCCTGCTACCCAAAGGGATCATACTTTTAAGTCCTTTACCTGCTTCTTCTGGCCTAATTGCATTTCTAAGGAAGATGCAGTATATGTTGTCTATTCTTGATTAATTAATTTTAAACCTAGTTATTGACTAATATGATGGATGAGTTTTGGCCACTTTCACACTGGCCTTCTCTTCATTGTCCTCCCAGTAGTTAGTTTCTTGTGAAATGCATTTACTTTTTTCCCTTTGGTACTAGGGGTTGAACTCAGGGGTGTTTTAGCCAAGCCATATTCCTAGCTCCCCAGTTTTTTTCCTTTAGAGGGTCTTGCTCAGTGGAGGCAGGACTGTAATTATTGCTCCTCTTAAGTTAGCTGTATTTGAATATCAGTTTTCTCATACCTTCTAGAATACCTCTATAAAATGTTCTGAGGTTTTCAAACTGCAAAATTTATCACTTTTTCATGCAATCATCCTTCCTGTAGTTCTCTGTTCTGCTTATATCTAACCTGATTACTCCTGTTGGATTTCCCTTTGATTCTATTCCTGGAGTTACCTTATCCTGTGTGTGGGTTTCTATTGCCTGAATCCCATAATATCTTTCTTGGGTTACTCCCTTATTTGGGGGCAATACATCCTTTATTCTAAGGATTTACACATCAGTTCATTTTTTCTGCTCACAAGAGACGGGTGGGGACAAGGATGGTTTGTTCAAACCAGTATTAAAACTGGGCAAAATAACATCGTGTATACAGAGAATGCACATTGTATAACACTTGCATACCCTTTGCTTAGTTTATAATCAACCATGATCCATACTTGAGGGCCCCCAGTGCTTGCTACTTTTTTCTTTTGTAAATTTCCTCTACTTTAGCCAATCAGTACCTTGCTTTTCTTAATTATTCATGTATATTTTTAACAATATGTAGTTCTGTTTTTGTATGTAGGAAAGTGGCTTTATGACTTTTTTCTATATTATTGACCAGTTGAAGGGTTTGGGATAGCTTCTCCAAACTGTTTTCCACATTACAGATTTTAACTGAAAATAAACTTGTTCCTGTGAGCTGGGTTAAAATCTAGGGTCTGCACTTTTGAGGTACAACCTTTCATGTGATTTGTTTATATACTTTTAATATTCATTAGGCTTTTTGCTCATTTTTCCTTTTAGAAATAGCATCCTGACATATTTTGTCTTTGAACTTATTTAGTAAGGTTTCGTATCTCCACATTTAAACGAAAGGCACAAAGCTCACCTAAGTCATATGTGTATGTTGGCTGGGTGGATGGCAGCAAATTGTTTCAGTGGTAGGTATGCCTCATCAGAGAAAATTTTTTAACAGATACCCTCTTTCCAAATGTCTATTTTCTCTAGGGAAGTGTTTTATATAATAGTGGCTAAAATTCTGGAACTAGACAGAAAAAGTCAATTTGAAGAGCAGCAGCCCACTACTTCCTTCTCGTCCTAGGTTTGCTTGTAGCTATTTCCTTGAGCAAGCAACTTCTGAACCTGTTCTCTCATCTATACAGTGAGAGGGGTGGGAATGTTTGCCTGATACTTTTGAGCCCCCAGTACCAGAAAACAAAAAATTCGTAATTCCAGTTAGAAATTTTATTCAGGGAGCAGCCAGGTACAACAGGCACGTTTGTAATGTCAGTGATTTAGGAGGTTGAGGTAGGAGGATTAAAAGTTTGAGGCTAGTTCGGGGCCACTTAGTGAGACCCTGTCTTAAAAAGAAAGGAAAAAAAGGCTGGATGTATGTAGCTTAATGGTAAAGAACCCTGGGTTCAATCCCTCATACCCCAAACCAAAACCACACCCAAAAACTTATTTCTCCCTTTACATGTCTGATACTATAAAATGTCCTTGGGCAAAAAAAATTCCACGCAATCGTTCATATTTTTCTTTCCTACCAGGGACTAGTCTGGCTCAAAGACAAAGAAGCAACACATTGTAAGCTTTGTGAAAAGGAATTCTCACTCTCTAAGAGAAAGGTAAGAGAGGTAGGAAAAGAATCCAAAACTCTGGGTGCAAAAATGGCTTCTCTTTTATTCATCATTTTTTTCTCTGATTTTTAATTTAATAGCACCATTGTAGAAACTGTGGAGAGATTTTCTGTAATGCCTGTTCTGACAACGAACTGCCTTTGCCTTCTTCACCAAAGCCAGTAAGAGTCTGTGATTCCTGTCATGCATTGCTCATTCAGAGATGCTCATCTAACTTGCCATAAGATTGTAGAACTAATCCTTACCTATGAAAGTTTCTGCAATGAATGCATACAAGGTATCCAAACATAAGCAGCCTTTAGTCAGTATTGGTACCAGTTTATCTTTTACATATTTTACTCATGGGAATTATTAAGTTGTATCATTTGGTATTTACTCATTGTTAATTCTCAACAGCATGTTTTAAAATAACTTTAATTATTACATGGAATAATCATGGAACCCTTCACTTCATTTAAAGGCCAGATATAACAGCTCAAACACATTTGCCTTATCTTGTAAAAAGGCCTTCTTAAAAAATAAGGCTTCAGATTGTTTTCTTCTTGAATTCTGTCAAGTTGGTATTTGATGGTGCCTGTAATTCTCTTAATGCACTTTAAAGCTTCCCTACTCTCAGAGAAAGAGACTGGAAATGCACAAACTTTTTAGAAGTATTAATTCTCTTAACAGAATTATTATTTTGGTAGAATTCCATATTCACCTGTATTTTCCCTCCCTTTTCCCCCTCTTTGCAGTAGAAAAGGTATTTTATCCTACAAGATTGTCTTTCCATCTTTTCTAAACAACCATTGTGCTTGTTGATACTTTTTTGGAGTGATATGGTATTTACAATTTACTTCTAATCTTGAAAGGAACTTCCTCTTAAGTTATTTGCAGATGTTCTTGGGTGTGGTTACCCCTTTCCCCCAAACATGAAAACATAAACCTGCACCATGGGGGGAAAATGTGTATTAATATGGAATTACATGTTTAAACTTTACCACTGATGACACAGAATTGAGAGTTCATGCAGACACAATCAACCTTAACACTAAGTTATATTGTTTATACCAAGAATTTAATATGAAGTTGCCCGTGTATAAGAAAACAAACTCCTACTGACACTATTTCCTTTTTATTAATCTAATTTTCAGCCATGCACTTTGTAAGCCTTTCAAAAACTACAGAAACTTTACATTCCTAAAACCATTACACTGAATGATCAAATGCCTTCCTGACCCCCAAGTACTTTTATCTGTAGGCTCTTTTCCATGTGACCATCTCCTTTAAAATTTAACTAAATTGCCAAAGAAAGGAACCAATGTTTTAGCTGGGCGTGGTGGCACATGTCTCTAATCCCAGCAGCTTGGGAGGCTGAGACAGGAGGATCTTGAGTTTAAAACCAGCCTCAGCAAAGGTGAGGAGCTAAGCAGTTCAGTGAGACCCTGTCTCTAATAAAATACAAAATTGGGTTGGGGATGTGGCTCAGTGGTTAAATGCCTCTAAGTTCAATCCCTGGTACCCGCTACCCAAAAGAAACCAATGTTTTATTTGAAGATTATTTTTTCCAGAACCCATAAATTCCAGTCAGTTTTTGAGGTTGGTTAGTTAGTCTGTGTGTGTGTGTATGTATGTGGTACTTGGACTGAACCCAGGGGCTTTCTTCCACTGAGCTACATCCCCAGTCCTTTTTATTTTTTGAGACAGGGTCTCACCAAGTTGCTGAGGCTGGCCTCGAACTTGTGATCCTCCTGCCTCAGCCTTCTGAGCTGCTGGGATTATAAGTGTGTGCTACCACACCCAGTTTAAATGGTCTTTCTTGAATACTGACAGAAATGTACTTGAGATAGGATTATATTCTTGAAACATTTTGTACTGATGGGATAGATTAACATTTTTATGACTGCTGAAAACAAGTAAGCAAGTTTTCAAACAGGTTTTAAAAAAATATGTACTTGGAACGAATTTTTTAAAATGTAATTTAAGTTGCTTAAATTCCAAGGCAGTTTCCATTCGATAAATAAACCAGGATTTTTAGTCACCCTTTAAAATTTCAACATTCAAAACTCATTTTACTATTAATTTGGGCTTTTTTTGGGGGGGAAGCAGCTTTAATGACAATAATATAACTTGTTCATTTAGTTTTGGCTTACTTTAAAACCATTTACACTTTAGATTTTTGTGTTCCATTACAAAACTTTCACAATTCTTATTTTGATCATGAACCTGCTGCACTTTTGTTTTCAAAATAGATTTCGTATACCATTCCCTTACCTAGCCAGTACTACCACAATGATGCGATCATGGTGCCAAGGAATTGCGATTGTAATTCTTCTAACCTGTAATATTTTAAAAATAAAAATGTAATGTTTTAAAAATAAAATGTGAATTTTATAAATCAAATAAAGATTGGAACAATTAGCCTGCTTTATAAACGCAGTTTTCGTTTCTAACTTTATACTGTCACTGCTTAAAGATTTTAAGAACACAGTTCTAGGAAAATAAAGTACATGGCTTTTAAAAAATAGGTTTGAGCCTTAATATTTAAGTAGCTAATTAAAGTAAGCTGGGCATAGGCACTAATGACTGGGGGTATAGCTGGGAGTAAAGACCAGTGGTACAGTACATGTTTATATGCACAGAGTCTCCAATCCTTGATACAAAAAAAGATAAAAAAGTTGAATCATTGCCAAAGGTCAAAAAGTTCCAAATATACATGCCACAACACTTCCTTTTCTACACCAAAAACCCTTCTCCTTTGGAGTCACTTTAAATTTTAATCAGTCTAGATATTATATGCAGTGCTTTCTACCAATATGGGTTGTAATTAGTAACCAACACAAAGCATTCTAGGACAAACGCCACATGATTATCTCCCACATTGACATTTATTACATTAATAACATTCTAGCAAAAGCAAATAACAAGTTCAGTAACTGAATTCACATTGACAGGTTTCATTTTGATCCATTAAGCCAATTTGAGGAAAAAAAAAGCCATATTGATCAAAGTGATGAAATTAAAAAGCACCTTTTCCTTGCTACATATTTTTAACTAAAACTCCAAACTGACATCAGATACAAAATCCAACTGCAGTATTGTTTTTGACTATGACATGGATTTGTGTCTTACATTTTTAAAATGTAGTCATTTAAACACTTATTTAAAACCCATATGCTCGATTGGATAAGAAACTGAAAATACATCTGTGAGAATTATGATTCATAGTAAATGCCTATTTACTTACACACTGAATTCTCATGTCATTGAGAATCCTACCTACTCTAAACATCCTGAAATAAGTTATGACTCTCACCTTTTGGAAACATTTTTGGTACTTCAGTCAAGTGCTGAGGGAAATGTATTCTAAAATCTAGGGCTAGAATTCAAATTTCCAACACTCCCATACCTAGGTAACACAATTAGGAATACTCAGAAATCCAGATACCTCTTAAATCATCAACATTTCAGAGCTATGCCTGATAAATGACATCTGAAAAAGAATAATATAGAATTAGCTGAATTTATATTCCTGAAGCCACCTAAACTCTTCTTTAGGCTTTATATTTACAGTGCTATTCAGGAGAAATTAAAGAAAAAATTATTCAAGCTCTTATTTCAGATGTCTGCTTATAAAGAATTGCAGTTTATACCAAAGTGAACCATTATTCTCTAATACTACACTATACTACTGTTTGTAGCGCTACCAGTAAAATACATCAACCCAAATCTTATGAAGGCAGCACATCTTTAGGAGTAACTAGTATATATAAAAAGTATCAACATCAGTGGTTTGAATATAAAAATTTATTTTTTAAGTCAAAGTATGCAACAAATAAAACCTACAGAAAACAGATTTTCCCATCACAATCTGTGGCTTTACCAAATAATATTTTGAAAACACATTCCTTCAGTCATTATAAAGTTCTTAAAATACAAAAGAAATTAGATCTGTAAGAAAGTCTAGTAGACCAGATGCTGTTAGGACTTGTATGTTGGTGATTATGTTTTCAGTACATCCCACGCCATCCACCTCCACTCATGCCACCTTGCCCATAGTAACCTCCACTGCCTCCACCACCACGGCCTTAAGAGAAAAACATTAAGAATCATTTATCAGAAGAAATCTGTGCATCAGATATTAAAACTAATATCTGCACTTTTTTATGGGCATTTCAATTGGGGATTAACACAAACCAAGTAGAAAAACTTACCATAACCACCCAAGCCATCAGGAGTACCATATCCTCCACTATAATTGTTCCCCATTCCCATTCTTCCAACAGATCCATATCCTCCCTGATTATCTTTAAAAAGAAAAAAAAAAAAAAGTAAGTTTGAGATCAATTGCCAACAAGCCAATAGTGCTTATCTTTAAAACTTCACATACCCATTCCATCTCTGCCGTAGCCTCCCATTCCAGAACCTCCCATTCCAGAGCCACCTCCAGGGGTAGAATTCAAGAAGAGTTCAATGTACCGATGTTCTTTAAGAAAAAAGGTTAAGAGTAATATGAGAGGAATGATGGATCAAATTTTTTAATAAAAGCTTTAGCAAGTCAATTAAAATATGTATCAATGCTTCGGTAAATCACCTAAGGAAGCCATTAAAGTATAAGCTTTATTACGGACTGAATACTTTGACTGTACCAAGAGCCATCTACAGAGCCTAATACTTCTTATACTTATTTCAATAAATAAGACTTTTATAAACCAGTGCACATCTAGGAAACAAAATAGCATGCCGAGGACACCACTTACGCATGTTATTTTTATCTTTAGACATGGCAGCTACTGCATCTTCATGTGTCACAAACTCTACATCTGCTTCTCCTGTTGCTCTGCCATCAGCTCCAATATCAATATGAACTCGAATTGGATTTAGTGGCGAGAAGAACTAAATCAAAGAAAACATTTATTTTAAAATTCCAATTATCAAAAATAAATTACCAACAGCTTAACTTTTTCCTCATCCACTGAAATAAACCCTTCAACTGCTCAATCAACCAGAAGGTCTACGACCATGAATATGACTACATTCTTATTTGGAAAAAAAAAAAAAAAGTGCAATCAAGACCAAAGCCCAAACAGGTATTTTTTTAAAACCTCACACTGTACTATCGAGTAGAACAAAGTCAACTAAACTACTCCCTTTACTCTCAAGAAATCATTTCAAGGGCTGTAGATGTCAGTACACTGGTATAGTGCTTACCTAAGTGTATGTAAGGCCCTGGGTTTAATCCCACCACCACCAAATAAAAACAAAGAGAAAATCCAAAACCCCCCCCCCAAAGATTTCAAAATTGGTGAAATATAACAGTTCATGTGAGAAGTACAAAATATTTACAGAGAAAACAGCATACACCATGATTCAGAACAATGGATTTGATAAACCTGCCAATAATACATGAATATCCCTAAAATGTACCATTTAGTACTAATCCCAAGTTTATATTAAACTTATCTTTAAAGGTACTTAGAACTTAGGCCAATTGGTTCCCAGTAAGATCTAGAGCGAACTTTTGCTTTACTAACCAGATCAAGTATATCGGGCTTTGAAGACCATTAGGTCTGTCATATTACAACTCTATGGGTTAATGAATGGGTGGAAGTGACTAGATTTTGCCCATGGGTGCAGTTTGCTTATCCTCTAACCAATCTGAAACCAACAAATTTCAAATCAGTGACAGCAGCAGGATTTATCTACCCTAGAAAGCCAAATCAAGCCACTACAACTTTACATATTTGCTCTTTCAAAATATGACCCAACAAAAGAAATTATCTATTCACAAGTCTATATCAATCAGTTTTTCACTATTAACTGGATTTGGATCCCACTGAGGTCACCAAAAAATTTGACAGAATATCTATCAACCACTGAATATGGGACAGATGTGAGGGAATGAACCCAGGGCCTTATGATAATTCACTAACAGAATACTACTGAGCTACATTCCCAGCACCAATCTTGATATTGTCATTAATAAAGATAAAGGGAAAAAAAGAGTGCTTTAAAATTAAGATACCAAGTATAAAACCACAAATGATCACCAAAATTACTCACATTAGCAATATCATTTTCAGTTGCACGAAAAGGCAACCCTCTCATATGTACAAAATGACCACCATGAAAACCTGAACTTGCATCACCAGCTCCACCATAGCCATGACCTCCCATACCTAGAAAATAATTTTGTCAACATTATAAACCATTATGGATACATGTAGGAAAGTGTATATATATATATATATATATACACACACACACACACACACACACTATACAAAAGGTATAAAGCCCATAAAGGAAAGCACTGAAATATACCTGATTAATTTCTTTCATATGAGTCACTGATGTTACCACAGGAAGCTTACAAATACTAAAAAGTTTACTCCTAAATGAAAATACTATTTTACCTCTTCCATCTCTCATTCTGTCATCAAAGCCATCATTTCCATAGCCATAATTATTATAGCCACCATAGTCATCAAAACCTCCATAGCCTGTGTAATTTAAGGAGAAATTACATGAATATCAGAGATAAATATATCGAATTTATAAATCACATCTTGTAGTAAGCAGTCTATTTAACTTCTTGATCATTATGAGTCTGCAAGCCGAGTTAGTGCGTATAAAAAAGGCAGTTAACAATATAAGCTTAAAACCTCAAAAAGATAAATTCAGACATGTAAATTAAATTACATCCTGATACCCAGAAGAAAACATACCAATCATCTTCATTTTAACTTCTATGCAATTTTTCTAGGTGCTAATATGTGCACCAATCAAATCCCAGATCTGACCATGGGAATACGTACTTTCATGAACAGGTTTTAAAACCTAGTAGGTACTGAAATTACCGCCATTTCTATATTTCTTGACAAAGTGTCAGGAACATTAAGAAAATGACAACAGAACCTTTGTTCATTAGATACACATACCACCATCATATCCATCACCTCCTCGTCGCATTCTGTCATACATACTTCCACGCCCAGCTCCATAATAACCACCTCTTCCTCCTATTGGTCTATCATATGGTCCCGGTCGCTGTCCCAGCAATCTTCTTGGTGGGTCATAAAATCCTTTGATTTCACTCCTGCTACTTCTGAAGATCTCAATATACCTATTTAAAAATGTTTTTAAGGTACAGGTTTCAGCATAAATGTATTAGAGTAAATTAGATATTGGGCAAAATGCAGCAAGTTTTCTACATCTAGATATATAACCCAATTTAAATTGCCTAAATACACCATCATAAGTTAACAGTTTTTACACCTACAAACTTAAATAATATTTAAGTTTTACATAGACAAATGAGTCATTTGAAAGCAATTCATAAAATATGAATATATTTTTAGTTTGTTTCCTTTAGTACATGATAGGTGTTTAAGAAAAATAGGTGATTATACAAAAGCATTCATCAACAACATCCTACAGAGAAATGGAAACAATCTAATTTTAATTTAAACAAACTATTAGAATAATTCCCCACCCAAATCTGTAGTTTCCAAGTTAAATTTAGGTAATTATCAATTCTTTTAAAACTACCCCAGAAAATGTTATGGTTACCCCCCCATTTAAGCAATAGTGACCCACAACCCCCAAAAATAAAAATTTAACACCATCCCAAACTCTCCATCCCCACCTGTGCCCTATTCTTTCCTTGTGTTTCCCCAGAGCATTTTCTGCTATCTCCTTTGAAGCAAACTGCACGAAGGCCTCCCCTGTGCTTCTCCCCTGGTAGTCCATCGTCAATGTTATCCCATTTGGCACGATTTCCAACCCTTTAACCCAAGGACAAATAACCCCATCAAGGGGAACAGTGTTAAAGGCTGAAACATTCCCATCTGAATCAAATATTTAAAACAAGTCTAAACAAAACAAAACAAAACAAAAAAGCTTAGTTCCCCATCACCCCATAATACAAATGGAATATTTTTTCAAATATTGGAATAAATAAAATTTTGTGACCACTGTCTTTTTAAATTATATACTCTAAAACCCCACCTATATTACATGAAAAAAGGTACAAAATTTATGCTCCATATGCTAATTCATGGTTCTTTCATCACACAAAATTATTCTCAATTAACTGCACTGCACAGCAATTAGTTTTTACATATTCTATACGTTCTGTATTGACTATTAACTGGAGCACATTTCATATTTTACGATATACCATAATCAAACTTTAAATAAAGTTCCAAAATCAAATGTTTTACAAATTAAAAACTGAATAACATAATAAAAATATAAAATTAAAATACTACTAAACTTTGACTAATACTAGAGGTACCTTGAAAGAACTGAACTATTTCCTCTTTGCTGCAACCAAATGGCAGTCCACGTAGTCGTACTGTCCCATCACTAGCGTCATTTGGACCATTATGTTTCATAACCCAATCCATCTCAATACCGTTTGATTTAAATGCTATAAAAAATAAACAAGCACATAAAGCAGTAAATCAAAATATACTCTTGTCAAGAGGTACTGAAGAAACACCTCTCAGGGGTATCACAACAGGAAATGTAACATCACTTTTTATTGTGGGGTAGGGTTTAGGCAATGAAATCTGACCCCTCCAACCAAAAAGTTCTGAACTTCTTAGAATCAACCAATTATCACACACTGCTTAAATAAGAAGCAAAAATAAAAAACACCCTGCATAATTCTATTACCAGAATCTTCAAAACTTTCTTGATTGTGTTATCTTAATGCCAACTCTAGCCATTTTTCTCTCTCACATTTTCACTTTTCAAATTTTATTATTCACCGGAAGAAATTTTCTTTAGTACTTGGATATTGTATATAGTATTACTATCCATTCATAGTGAGGTCCAAATAAAAAAATACAATAAACACTTCATGCTGGAAAAAACTTTAGCTCAAGCTTTTTAGATTAACTACTAATTTTGAACACATCAAACTGTTTAAGGGGATAAGTTTAAAAGAATATTTAAGTAACAATTAGACTGAGTTTTAAACCTGATGTAAGAGGCTACTCAAAACAAATGCCTCTAAACAGTACCCGTGTTTTTGAAGCCACCTATTTGGGAAGTCACTAAAGATAGCATATAACCCATATACTCACTGCCTTAAATTTATAATCAATTCAGACTTAAACATGAATTTTTAAATATATTCACATTAAGGAAGTATAGAAAAAAGCACAGTGAGAAATCCCCCTACCCCTCCAAAATGAACCAGTACCCAGTTCCCTTCCCAGAGGCAAACAACCTTCCTTTAAAAATTCCAGAACATTTTCAAGGTTAATGCAGAAGTCCTCCAGCTGCAGAAACTTACCAGACCTTACAAATTTCACTAGGCAGCTGTAGGAATCCTACTCACCTGAATATTTCAAACCTTTCCCTCACCACCTCCTCCCCTGTAAACAAAACAATTTGTTCACTTGATTCCTTTATGCTTTTTATTTTACACCAACAGCATTCACTAATGTTTAATCTCATATGGTTTAATTATCAGTATAACTATCAATACATCTACAAAGGGATAAATTTCTTTTTCCTATTATTAATGCGGTAAATAAAAAAAGTCAACGTAGCCACTTGGGAGGGAGGAAGGCAAGTTCTAGGCCAGCTTAGGCAACTGAACAAGACCCTGCCAATGGGGGGACAGGGCGATTGGGGATACAGATCACTGGGCCACTGTCCCCAAGATTCAATCCCCATTAGCTCAACAAAAAAAGTAAGTGAATGCACTAATCCTCAAAAGTGGTTATTAATCTCTACATATAAATCTTCGTCACTTTTCTTCTTAAATGATGGGATCGAACCTCCAGAGCCCCACTGAACTATTCCCCCAGCCCACTTTGTTTAGGCTAAAGGCCTAGTGCCACTCTAGAGAGAACCAAAATAAAGATACCACACATTTTAAAAACTGACCTTACAACTAATTCTTAAGCACATAAATAACCAAAATGAATTTATAAAAGAATCCAAATCCTGGGTTTGGACATTGGTTAAACTACTTAAATTTCTGAGCCCATTCAACCGTGAAATACAGCATCAGTAGCTTCAACTGTTACAAGAATCATGTAAAATGCTTGGTCTATTTCTTAGCAAGCATTCACTGGTGGCAATGATTGGTGGATTTTAAGACCTCAGTATACCAACTAGACAGACCACAAACAAACCTCAAAGGACAGAAAACTATTCTGAATCTTGAAAAGAAAAAAGAAAAAAAAACTGTCAAGTCTTTCCCAAGGTTAACAAAGGCTTTATGAAGTTTAATGCTGTCCCCGAATAACCCTGTATGTTTGCAGGGGGTGGGGAGTTAGATGTGAAGATCTCCATGATTTTCTTAAAAACACCAACCTGAGGTGTGTGGGGTGGGGTGGGGTTGAGGCAGTGATAGAACACTAGTCTAGCATGCACAGGGCCCCGAGTTCAATCCCCAGAACCAAATAATAAGCAGAACCAACCTAAGAAATAAAAAGTTTAAGATCCAAGATGGGGGAAAAGTAGAAAGGATCTAATATCATGTACTTTCTCATGAAAAATTTTAAGAACTTTGTCCAGTCAATCTAATTTAGCATGGAAAGATCTTAGTACAGTGTTTTTTTCAGCCCTCAGCACTTTCTTTTCAATGTAAAAACATTTATCACAAAAGATTTGTATTTCAGAAACAGAGAAAGGTGGAGATTCACTTAGTATTTCACAAGAAAATACTAGCAAACAAACTAATTTTTATTTTTTGGATCAGGATTTTCCAAGATAATTCATGTGAAACCAAGAGATGAAGTACTTATTAAAAATATTAAATTTTTAAATAATTTTTAATTGGGGCAAAAATTTACCAGATTTGGAACATTAACTACTTTACAGAGTAACTTTCCATCTGAGTATAAAAGAGTATATACAAAGACAGCCTCACTCTAATATGCCTTCAGAGCCTTGTTCCAGTACCCCTTCACAACTGAAGTCTAGAATTCTACTTACAAACAAGAAAAAATTCTAAAGGCATACAAAAGGCTCTGAATAAATACCTTAATAATGCTGTCAAAAACTAAACAGTTTACTAATGATTCAGATAATCCACCTCAATCTTTCTTTGTAAGGCCATAGCTAATCACTTCTCTACTTTATGAATTCCAAATGTTAGCCAGGCATAGTAGGATGTGAATAGACCCAGCTACTTGGGAGGCTGAGGCAGGAGGATGGCTTCAGCCCAGGAGTTCTGGGCAATGTAGAGAGATTTTATCTCAAAAAAGAAAAAACAAAACAAAACACTCAAGTGTTAGCACCAATTTAAAATGCCAGTTGAAATGAGGTTAACTTTATTTGGTTTTATACAAAAACTTTAAAATTTCCTAACCTAAGCAAAAGTCACTGATAACCATATTTTATATTCCACTTACATGCTTGTCCAGAATATAAAAATCTACTACATAAGTTTTGTAGTTGTCCTGAGTCTTGAAAGGAGGGCAGGTGTCTAGTATATGGAATGAATGCTAATATGTGTCTTTTTTGGAATGATAGAATATTCTAAAATTAGATTACAGTGGTAGTATTACAACTGCTTATATACTAAAACCCAGTGAAAATACACTTCAAATGGGCAGCTGGTGGAATGTGAATTATATCCCAAAGGTGTTAAGAAGCATAATCAAACAACTGAAATATAAAAATCTCAACATGGAGGCACACTGTCTTCTGAAGTATATGTAAAGGATTTGATGCATCAGTCAATTATCAAAACAAGTTCATCAAAAGATAACACTGTTACTTAGCAAAGGCAATTAGATGGATTTCCAGATTATGATGCAGATGAAAAAGAGGGCAGAAAAAAGTCTAGTCTAATTCAATAAGGAAAGCTGTTGGTTATGTCATATACATTACATGAAAGTCTGAGCTGTTTTTCAGTCCATTAAAAATCCGTTTCAAGGTAAGATTTCTGTAAACTTTCTTTGATGATCTTCAGAAAGCATCAAAGAACATCAACAACAGGCAGGGTTTTTGTTTTTAAAGTTGGAAAGTATAGTTAACAGACTCATTTATATAGTTTTATATGTATTACTGGAAACTCATTCTCAGGCCTTGCCTTTCTCTTCTGTACTGTCTTCAATGACACTCCTCTAAAGACCAAAACCAACCATCAAATAAAAACAAAACAATAAAATCACCCCACTCCACCACCATGTGACTAAGCTTACAATTGTCTAATAGGCTTATTTCCTAGTTCAAAATATCAGTATACTCTAGCACTAAAGAAAAAATATGCTTAGCTACGAAAAGAAAATAAACTATATTTATAAAGTATTTGACTTCCACAGCCTTAATGCTAAGAAAAGAAAAAAAAATCACAACTCGTGCAGACTTAATAATATTGAGTCAATTCTCTACAGAAGCATACATACATTTTTGCCAATCACTGATTGCGTTTTAACAGCTGTTTCCCAAAAAGTAGAACCCCTTCTTAAAAAACAAATTCTAACTCGAACGTGACAAACTATACAGAACCATTGCTAAACAACCCACCTCCACCCACGAATTTAAAAAGAGGTACCATGTAGTTCACCGGGCCCACACGACTTATTAAAATATATGCCCGTTTCACAGTCCTATTTGATAAGTCACCCACTTTTCTGCTTATAAAATTACTCAAAGTCTTTATAAACGTTTAAGTGTGAGAAAAAAAAAATCCTTTGGAAAATGAGTACGTACTCTTTTCGAAGTTCCAAACCTGGAATATAAGGGCCGGCTAAGCGTCCTTTATTCCTCCCCGGAGACTTTCGTTATCTAGCGGCCCTAGAGACCGGAGAACTAGGGAGAGTACTTCCCCCTCCCGTCCGGCAGCCAAGCCAGGCTTAAAAACCTTCGCCACCGGGCGGCGGAATTACAAAGGAGGCCGTCCGCCTCCTTTGTCCTGGATTTGGGAGTTGAGCGCCTTCGTCGCCATTGGCTTTCCTCCCCCAGCTCCAGCCTCTCTCATCTTGGGAATCTGCGTCAGAAGTCACTCGCAGTCCCGCCAGCCCAGGTAACCCTGCCGAGACTGCAGAGGAAGGAGGCCGCGGTGGGAGGCCAGGCCCATCCGGCGCCATTTCCATCGGGAGCGCGCCCGGCAGCCCGATCCTCCCCGCACCCAACTGCCCGGCCTTACCCTGCTCGCTTCACTGCCCCCCCTCATCCCTTCCAGGGAGCTAGGCCACCCCCACACCCCCGCCTTCTAAATCAGTTTTCCGAAGATGGGGAACAAAAAGTAGAAAAAGCGGGGAAGGGCGGGAAGCCTAGGTGTCCGCGCCACCGTACCCAAAATGGCGGAGGCCAAGCCAGCAGAGAATGGGGGAAAATGCTGAAAGCCCTCACTTCGGGTCTCGGCGTCGTCCACTGAATTCCACTTGAACAAGTCCTCCCCTCGGCAGGCCGCCCTCCTTGAAGTGGGAGATCGCCCGGGAAGCGCAGCGGGGCCGCCCCGGAGCGGCGACCTCCACACTTCCCCACCCCACCCCCTCCCGGTCTCTTTCGTCCTTCTCCCGACTCCGCTCTCGACACCACCAGCCCAACCTACCCCCTTTTACTTCAGATACCCTGTCGAGCGATAGTAACGCCGACTCCGGTGCACGCGGGATTCGGTCGTGAGGAGGGAGAAGTCGTTCGTCTCTCGTAGCGCTCCTAACAACGGTTTTTCCAACCGTCTTCGGCGGCTGCAACCGCTAAGGAAGCTGCGCAGCACAGCAACTGGCTGGGGGGGATGGGAGAGAGCGAGCGAGGAGGAGGGGGTGGAGCGAGGGCTACGAAGACGGGCCGCCTTGCTCTCGCGAGACCAGGCGGTTCCGCCTTAGCGCGGGGGAATGCGCTTGCGTACTGATGGGCTGATCGGCTGAGGCCGGGAGAGAGAAAAGCCGAGATTGATCCAGTTAGTGAAAGGCTGGCGGTATTCTGCGCCTTTCTTGTTTACTCTACAACCATCAAATTCTCAGAAGCCACCTTTTTGCTCTTCGATAGGATGGGAGGTTGCAGAAGCAGCCCTTGCAATTAGCCTTGAAAGAACCGTGGTGTCGCGGATTGGAAAAGTTCTCCCTTGCTCCCGAGGCTCCACCGGGAACAAATCCCGTAAAGGCCCCGCCTTTACCCAGCGAGAAAAGGGCGCCACGTGGTTCATCCACCAAACACTGGGAGCACTTTCCTTATCCACCATGTTTGCATTCTGCGGTTAAAAGAAAAAAGAAAGTGTTGCGGCTGCCAATGTGTATACCAAGCCTGATTTCGGCTCTCGGGCTAACGTTTCTTTTCCCCTAACCACCACCACCCGGGAGGTGCCAGCCGCCCCCTAGCGGGCCTTGTTCAGGTGTGCAGCACAGGCCCACATTGATCAGAACCGCGTAGGTTCTGATTGATTTCCTATTTTCTCTCTATTAAAACCTAATTGACCAATCAGCGGCTCGTGGCTGTGGACTTGGACCCCCCCCCACACACACACACATTTTTTTTTTAAATCAGTGCATTATAGTTGTACATATTGATGCATTTGCTATTACATATTCGTACTTGAACGCGATTACCCCCTCCCTCCCTACCTCCCACTTCTTGATATCATTCCTCTACTGATCTTCGTTTGGTTTTAGGAGCTATGGGATTGTTTTCTTTCTTTTCTTTTTTTTTTTAATATTTATTTTTTAGTTCTCGGCAGACACAACATCTTTGTTGGTATGTGGTGCTGAGGATCGAACCCGGGCTGCACGCATGCCAGGCGAGCGCGCTACCACTTGAGCCACATCCCCAGCCCTATAGGATTGTTTTCTAAATGGAGCTTTCCATTCTTGAAGATTGTTCTTAAAAGCTAATAAATACTTTTTACTGTGCTGTCATGCCATCAACATTCTCAATGATACATTATGGCCTTTTGTTTTTTAAAGTTTCAAAACAAAAGTGAAATTCTATGGGAAAGGTGAAAGGCACTCCGGTAAAGAGATGAAAGCAAATAAGTATATGCATGTAACTAACCTTGAAAGTCCAGCCAAGAGATTTTGGATCTTGTGTTACAGACTTGGGGAAGTCATTTAGGGATAGTAGGGGTGTTCGGAGTGTAGACAGATGAAGGATTTTTTCCCCCCTATGAGAACTTTAGTGTGTAATAAGGAGACAGGAAGCCAGTTACCTTGAAGTAATGGAAACTTCTATTTTATGGTTTATTATTATCTATTTCATGCGGTAGCGCAGGCCTGAATCCCAGCAGCTTGGCGGGCTGTTAGGAGGATCGCGAGTTCAAAGCCAGCCACCTCGAAAGCGAGGCACTAAGCAACTCATTGAGACCCTGTCTCTAAATAAAATACAAAATAGGGCTGGGATGTAGCTAAGTTCCCTTGAATTCAATCTTAGGTACCAAACAAACAAACAAACAAAACCCGACTAGTGCAGGGCATTAGGAATTGGCCAGGTCATGGTGCCCTACTGCCATTTTTCTTTTTCTTTTTTTTTTTTTAACCGATGGGCACTTAACCACTGAGCCACATCCGCACCACTATTTTTTTTTTTAAGATTGTTCTTAACAGCTAATAAATACTTTTTACTGTATATTTTTAGCCCCACCACCACCATTTTTTTTTTTTAATTCTATTTAGAGAAAAGGTCTTGCTGAATTGTTTAGGGTCGGTAAATTGCTGAGGCTGGCTTTGAATTCGTGATCCTCCTGCTTCAGCCTGGGATTACAGGTGAGCTCCATCCATGCCAGGCCCCTACACCCATTCTTTAGTCCACCTTCTCAAATATTCCTTAGAGGGGAAGGAATAGTGTTATCATTCTTTAAAAAGATAAAAAAAAAAAAAAACCCGAAGATGTTGTAATATGCAATTCATCGTCTTTATAGCCCTGAAAATTATTGTCATTCTACCAATGAGGTGCTTAGTTCCAGAGAAGTGAAAACTGCTGAATGACCAAGCTAAGATTGGAACCAAAAAGGTTTTACTCCAAGGGCCAGGGTCTAACGAAATTATTCGTGGTTACAAATAACTCATCTGTGCATTAATGGAACAGACCTAATTTTAGGCAAATTGAAGTTACTTTTCCTAAGGAACAATGGCTTTACCTCAGGAAACCTGAAGTAGTTCCAAGGTTATCTGTTGGAGACTTTTGAACAGGCCTAAAACTTGGTTGTCCTGGTTATCACTGACACTTTGCAGTACCCTTCTTTTTTATTTTTATTTTTTACTGTACTGGGATCCCCCACCTGTTTTTTTTTTTTTTTTTATGAACTATAGATTGAAGACCAGGCCTGGAGTATGTTCTCCCTTTTAAAAAATAATTGCTGTCTAGCTCCCACACTAAAGATGGAGTTCTTCCCTTGGGTTCAAGTTACATTGCTACTTTATTCTTTCCATCTTTCAACCTGACTTGGTAGGTGGAATTCTGTAAACCCTTTCACTCCTTGCCTGAATTCAAATAATCTATTTACTGCCTGAATGAATTTGGCATTCTTTCCACATACCTTGTATGGTCATGGGTGACAGTCCTAAAATTATTCTAATGACATAAATGACTTTTCACCACCAAATGGTAATGTTTCCTTTGGGGTATTTTGGCCATATTTTCTTTGTATTGAGCACTCTGCCAGTGTTAAGATTAGGAAGGGCTTGGAGTTGGTTCATATATTCTTTTTTGTATTTTTTTTATTATTATTATAGCAAGTAGGAAGTTTTTAGCTAAAAATACCTTAAATAGGGATAAATGTAAATCTTATTGGGCTTCTTGTTTTACTGTTTTTCTCAAAGAAAAATAAATGTCTATCAACTAATTCCATTTGCAAGTCGAATCCTATAAATAAGGCTTGAGGAGACTGGCTTACTGCTCCTCTCTGATCTCTATAGAATTGTTTCTAGATCGATCTCTGAGGAACTGTTTCCATAGAGATGGTTAGACCTAAGGGCTCCCAGCTGCTTAGAGGATTTTTTTCTTCTTTGTCTTCCTTTCAGTCTTTGGGTGCTTTCCTATTAACATAGAGATCAGAGGGACTCTGAAGAGGCCATAATGAAAGAAAAGATGAAAAAGGAGAAGGAAATAGAAGTACCCACACCTCCCAGAGGAAAACAAGACAAGGAACACGTAATCGTGTGTTACACCATCAGGATGAAGCAGAGAGGAAAATTCCATGCAGAACCCAAGTGAAAAAGAAAGAGAAATTGAAAGAGATGGCACTCTTCTGGGGGGAAGTCTCATTAGTTAAAAAAACTGGTTTACAATAATTGTCCGTATACGGAGTTGGAATTGTGGCTCCTTGGTAGAGTGCTTGCCTCGTGTGAGGCACTGGGTTCGATTCTCAGCACTACATACATACATACATACATACATACATACATAAATCAAAGGTATTGTGTCCATCTACAACTAAAAAATATTTTTAAAAATTTTCCACATACTAATAGTGGCATTGTAAAGTATCATAAAAACAATTATGATAATTTCGCCTACATGAAAAACAAATTATCCAAAATCACATAAAACCCACAGAAACTTATCAGGACTATGTGTAATTAAGGTATTCAATGCTGTTTTTTTGTTTGTTTTGTTTTGTACTAGGGGTTGAAACGGGCTCTCACTAAGCCACATTCCCAGCCCGTTTTTTTTTTTGAGACAGGGTCTTAGTTGCTGAGCAACTTGCAATCCTTCTGCTTCAGACTCCCCATAACTGGGATTATAGGTGAGTGCCACTGCACCCTGCAAAGATATTTATTCAATGCCTTTTATACATTAAATCTGATTTACTAAGTCCCAAGTCTTTGTGAACCATTTATTCTTTGATTTATATCACATATATCTAATATCTTTATTTTTATTTTTTAATTTTTTTGCACTGGGGATTGAATCCAGGGGCACTTTGCCACCGAGCCACATCCCCAGCCTTTTTTTTTTCTCCCTCTTTTA